AACTCATCTTTTTGTCGGTCGAATGAAATTAAAAAGTAAACTTTTTAGACCGGCAGACTATCGTCCGGCATGTTAAGATTTCCCGCAAATTCGTCTTCCATCAGCTAAACATATCGGACGTTCTGTTCGTAGAGCTATTACAGCCCGACGAATAAATATTTTGGTACCAGCCACTTGCATACGACTAAAGTTTTTAGCGTCATTTGGCCCGATAATGGCTCTGCCTTCCACAGGATCTTCAGAGGCTCGGTTGTGGTGCTTGTATAATGCCACCGAGCCGGTCTTTCCCCAATCCTGTTTTTGTTTTAACGAGTGCTAAAGTGCTCATTTGCCCTGAGATGTGCATCCATAACTCTGTTTCAGAAAAACTCACATCCGTTCCTGTTAAATCTAAATATACATGTGCCATAGTTCACGTGAGATTTGTTGAGGGTCACATATATTATGCAACGCTGGTACAAAAGCAATGTAATGACTGATGAGCCCAGAAATGTCCTTGGTGTAGGTAAATCCATGGTTGAATGCATTTGTTTGATGGCATCTCTGTTTTCTGGAACCTGATTTTCGACCATGACGATCAACCATGAATCCGAGGTATTCGATGGGATCCTTGAAAAAATTGATATTTTTCACTTCCGGGTAAAAACCAGTCTCGGATTCTGTTAATCGCTTAACCGAGACGTCTGCGAAGATTTTATGGATCGGATTTGACGATGATAATACCGTTCATATAAGCAACAGAAAATGAGATTCCTTGCAGTACAGTACCCATTGGTTGCCGGAATACTGCCGGTGCGGACTTATCACCGATTGACAGTCAATTTTATTGGAAAAGTCCACCATGCGAATTGGTTTTAAGTAGGTGATTTCTTTCGTCTGACGCTTTAATCTGTAAATACGCATCAGACTGATCCAAATCGGCAAAACATTTTTCACCGCTCAGCTTCGAAGGAAGTGATATAGATGATCCCCTAGTGTCGCATTGAGACTAGTTGAAAAGTCTGCACATATTGTAAAATTGCCGTTGGGATTTTTGATTGCCACGATCGACGCTGCCTATTCCGAAAGATTTGCTGGCTGAATGGCTTCTTCAGTTTGCAGTCTCTGTGGCTCTTGCTCAACTACAGGCAAGACAGCGTATAGAACAGGCCTCATTGGGCGGAGCAGCTTTTGCATTCTGAAAAAATAGAAGGGATTTTGTGTTTGACTACTTTCCAAGTGTATCGCTGAATACAAATGAATAAGAATTCAAAGTCGTTTTGAAGTTTGGGAGGCATCCGAATATATGAGGTCACATACACTGTTCATGGGAATTTCCATCAGCTTCAGTCTGTTCATCTCACTCAGGCCAGGGAGGTCCAAATGTCTTACATTGATCAGGTATCATACTGCAGCGGAAAAAATATTGCAGTTGTGGGATTTTGCGAGACAAGTGTTTTGTTAGTTTTTACACCACTCTCGTTTGAACAGTTGTTTTGTTTTGAAGAAATTATTCTGATGAGTCCACACTCAAAAGGAAGCACTGGACTCGAGTTTCCTTTTGATTTGAGTTCAGCAGCAGCGCACATCCAAAGGCCGTGCCGGGATTTGATCTCGGAACAACGGAAAAACTACACTCGGATATTGGGGGCGGCTCCAAGTTCACGGTCTGCCATTATTTTGAAGGCCAGAATTCTTGATTGGAGGTAGCAGGCGGCCAGGTGAATTGCTTTTCGAAACACCGTGCCCAGCTGTCCAAACTTTCTGCTCTGCTGCATATCAGGGACCTATTTTGGCTCCTGACAACTCCGTCGATTAGAGTTTTCCGAAGATCAGTCAAACGGACCAATTGTAACAGCTTGCGGGCGCTTCCAGCACTCTTCCGGCATCTTCGATTTCTTCGGCCTGGGCTGACACCTAGTTTCGCCTGACGTTGGGTAATATGAGGTTTTGGTCGTGACCAGGAGTAATCTGTTCACGGGTGTCCCTGAAAGACACGGTACTATCAGAGATCTGATGTTTAGGTGAGGCTGACTATGTTGTACCGCAAATACATTTTCCTGCTTTGAGTGGTGCTATGGATATCTTTTCCAAGTGGCCGTTTATATCAGATACCGTACAGTCCGACAAGCATTTGAGGAGCTGGTTCTGATAAATTTGTTTGATTCTGGGTCTACTAGCTTCTCAATGGCTAAGCGAGGTATGCGCGTTTTGAGCGCACCTGAAAAGCACAATGAAAAGCAGTAGTGCGCAAGTGCATGATCAGAGAAGACGCTGGTGTTCCAGAAGGGGTGGCAGGTGGTGATGAACCGTCTCCAAAGATGTTGTCTATTTGAATTCGCTGCTGGTTTGCTGGTGGTCCCCGCGTTGTCAAACAATTTCCGCGCCTTTTAAGCGAACGACATTCGCTGAACAATAACAAAACCGACCCAGGAAACTTGGTCGAAAGCCTCGATCCTGTGAATTAATCCGTGAAGCGGAAGAACCCACTGGTGTTCACAACACACAGTGCATTCGGGCGTCGAATCAGGCGGACCTTTTGCAGCGGCGCTGTTAGAAATCGTTCAACAGAGCGCCTGGACCCAACATGTCGCTGCACCCACCAGATACCGCGCAGGCCAACTACCATCCCTCTTGGATTTGGTCATCACCAACGAAAGACAC